AAATAAAGACAGGTTGAACTTTAGGGAAAGCGCTTAGGTCATATAGGTGCAAATATATATATATATGACTTAAGCTCTCCGTAAAGTTCAACCTCTCCATATTTAAGCTTAAAAGACAAAGTCCTTGAACTTGAAAGCCATATTTAAAATCTTAAAATTTCCAAACTTAGGAAATTGCCATTTACCTATATATATATATATATATAATATATAATTCAACTCCTTATGACAATTATACGTTATATATTTATATATCATCCATATTTAAGCTTAAAAGACAAAGTTCTTGAGCCTGAAAGCCGCATTTAAATCTTAAAATTCCAAACTTAGAAATGCCATTTTACCTATATATATACATATACAGTTGAACTCCTTTCTTATGACAGTTATACTATATATATATTTATATATCATCCATAAAGTGAGTAAAAATAGTGATTGACTTAAATACTTTATAAAATTTTAAATTAATAAATTTATACTTAAATATATAAGTTTATCAATTTATTTAAGTTTAATTTAAATTAACCAAAATTAAAAATAGAGTATATGCGAATTAGACTATTTAAAATTTTAAAAAATTTAATTACGCAAAAGTAATTAAAAGTGATTGGCTAAAATATTTGTTAGCCTTGAATTGATAAAACATTTTGAAATGATAGAACAAAACTTTGGCTAAACTTGAATTAAAACGATTTGAACTTAATTTGAATACTTTTTAGGCTTTTAATCTAAATAGAAAATTATTCAAATTCATCTAGCATAGTTTAAAAATAGAATTGGGGCAATTTAACATAGAAGGGATTGATCCCCTCTCAATGGCATCAATTGATTTTTTGGCCAAAAAAGCTTTGTTGTGCAAATTTCGTGAAACTAATCGATTCTCTCCTTGTATAGATTGATTGGTTCAACAGTTTAAAAGACAAGATTGATCCCTTCATAAAGGAATGATTAGTTTTTACATAAAATGCAAACTTTGCTCTAGACTTTAAGAGTGGATCGATCACCCAGAATAGAGGATCAATCATTTGAAAAAAGGGATCGATTGGTTATTGATATGGATCGATTGGTTGTGCATTTTCATACATAAAATTGTTTGATTTTTAACTGACCCAATCAATCCCCCTTAAGAGGGGATCAATCACCTCTTATCCAGAATGCTTGTAACAATTATTTATGTCTAAAAATTTTGCAGAGGCTCCAAACAATAAATACAACTAATGGCTATCTTTCACTTTTAATATATAAATGAAGGTCTCCCCACCATATTTGAAGCAACTAAGAGTCAAGAAAACTTATTTACATCTATCTACCATTTTTTCCAAATATTAAAAAGCATTTTAGTGTGAGAAAAGTACCTAAATTCTTATTGTATCTTATTTTCTCTTAAATATTCTTTTCGATCTTGATTGTACATTAAATTAGTAAACACCCAACTTTTGAGAGGTTCTTTTGAGTTTGTAAAACACTTTAAAATTTTGAATTATGAGGTTGTGAGCTTAAGAGGGAGGATAACCCTTAAGAGATTATGTTGTTGATTGTATAGAGCTTTGAAGAGCTAGATTGTAACTTTTGACACATAGTGGATTAAACTTTTTGACAAGTGAAGCTAAAGAAGAGGATATAGGTGCCTAAAAGAAGGGTTGTATCTCTATAAAATTTGATGTTTGATTCTTTATCTCAGTTTCTTGCTTTTAAGATTATTAGTACTCATATTTGTTATGTTTACTTACTTAGAAAAATTGATTTGTGATCTTTGTGCTTGCTGAATATTGAACTTATAAAAAAAAAATTTATTATCAACCAATTTACCCTCCATCTTGGTTTAATTCAAGTCTTTGAGCTAACAATTCTTTTAAGACCTCAAGCACTACCAATTATCCCAAAAATAATTGCTATTAGGAAGGTAAATACACTAACCTTTTAATGCATTCAGCACATATAAGTGCCTACGGCATTTAAGCACAATGAGTTGATGGATGAGGCCAACCTCCAATATGCCAATAATCTCTCCCCCAACAATACCATTGGGACTCAAACCCATGACCTTGGCTCTGATATCATTTTTAGGACTTCAGGTGCTACCAACTCTCTTAAAAGCAATTATTATTAGAAAGACGCATACCCTAACCTTATAATACATTCAGTACAACACAAGTGCCTATGACATTTGAACATATGGAATTAATGGATGCGGCCAACCTCTGATCTACCAATAACATCTTTAGTAAATATTTTTATAAATTTAATTTAAATGAATTTTTATTAGTAAACTCTTTTTTATAACTAAACAAAAATGTGCTAAAAGCGATTGACTAAAATACTCTTAAGGGTCGTTTGGTTCACAGAATATTAAATTCTTGAAAAGAAAGTGATCTTTCGAGAAAGTGTTGATTTTTAGAAATGAGAGTGATTTTACTAGTATGAGAATATTAGATTTTTTTATTAGTTTAAGGAAAAGTCAGATTATTTAAATAAATTCTTTTTACAATATGTCCTCATTACATGTCAAATATATTGTTTATGTTAATTATAACATAGTCTCTGACCAACAAATTTGAATTCTAATATAGTTTTTTTATTAAACATAATTAAAAATAAAATAAAATATAGTTTTACAATGTTAATGTAATAAAAACATCAAGATTGCCTTGAGGAAAACAAAAGTTACACAAATACCATATTTTTTAAAACAAAAATGTAGTATTTGGTTCAAATACGACATTTCTATCTTGTAAAACATCATATTTGAACCTAACAAAAAATTAAGCAAAGAACAACCACGACGTTTTTCTAATAAAAACATCATATTTAACATTTAAACAAATACTATGTTTCCATATAACGAGAATATTTCCATATTGAAAAACCCCGTATTTGAGAAAAAATAAAAAAAATTTAAAGGTCAATTACACATTTTTGAATATAAAAAATGCCATAAATGACAAAAACATTACAGCTAAGACATTTGTTAAATCGCATTTGTCTGCTTTGTGTTAGACCAATAAATATAGAAAGATAGGACAACTGGCTCAAGTCTTGATGCGATGACCCCTATGCTTATGGCACATATTCCCTTTTCCAAGTCTTAATGAAACCATACTACATTTACATCAACATTATAATACCTACACTTGTCTTTTATGTTCTATCTACAATCTCAATTCTTTACAAATATTTGACATTTTCATCATAGTAACCATTTCATTATAACTCTTTTAATTTAAATGAACAAAAAGGAATTTCTTAAGATTGGGTTCTAATATCTTTAAATTGTAAAAAGAATTTCTTTGTTATTTGAAAAGTTATTTCATTAAAAACTATGACGTTTGTTATGTCAAAAATGCAATCTTGATAGCAAAATGATAAAACATTACATAGGTGATAAATTAATTATACCATAGCAACTACAACGTTTTGTTCATGAAATATGCATTGTTGGTAATAAAAATTTTCAAAAAAATTAATAAACAATAATTGCATTCAATTCCATACAAACGTCATATTTGACATTGAAAAAAATAATAATAATCAAATACTATGTTAAGTTTCCAAGAAATGCAGTATTTGTGCTATTTGTTTTCAATACTACATTTGTAAATAAAAAATTTATTATTATGTTTCTTTCTATACGTAGATTTTCAAAAGGGTAAAATATAATAAAATAATTTTTTATTAAAGTTAAAATGTTAAAACAATAATTTTTGTCTTAGAATTTTAAAAAACCATAGAGAGATGTAGGTTTTTATTCCAAAACTTATAGGTACTGTTGAAAAACTAAAATTACTCCTAACAATTAGATACTTGTGAACCAAATGTAGGAATCACCTTCCCACAAGCAAGATTTTGAGGAAAAATCTCATATTCCCCCTAACCAAATACCTCATTAATGAAATCTTAATTTCAAAAATGTTAACAGTGATTAATTAATCTATCATTAGTAATTTTTTTATAAATATTAATTTAAAAGATTGC